AACACCCAAAAGTGGCAGGAAGAAAATGGTATCCAGAAGTTGCCCTGGCCAAGCCGATTTCCTGACATGATCCCCATCGAAAACCTCTGGGCCATACTCGACCGGCAAGTCAAGAAACAACCAAAAAAAACAACTTCGAAGAGCGATCTACTCCAAGTTTTGAAGCAAGAGTGGGCGAAAATCCCACAATCTAAAATTGACAAGATGATTCTCACGATGCCCCAAAGGATCAACGAACTCTACGAAGCGAAAGGAAGATCTACTAGATATTAATTAAATTATAAATATATCAATTCATGTGAATATGACTGAAAATTTTCATTTTTTCTGAAAAGGTGGTGTCTATTTACTTGTGACCGTGCTGTGTACATGTTCTTAGTATTCTTATTCTTTGTTATGTAACAGCATTTATACATTGATGATTGGAGTTTTTCTTTCTCTGTAGTAATACCTTTTATCCTTTACAATATTAATGTTCGTTTTTATTTCTCCTACAGGAAGAAAACCAGCTACTGTTAGAAAGCACATGAAGTGTAACGAAGGGCATCAGGAACTACAAATTATTGATTTGGAGAAATATTTATTTCTGTGCAGGGATACATTCTGAATATTTATTTTTTTTTCTTGAATTATTTTATTTGCTAATTTGTTTTTTATGTAAGAAAATTACACCAAAATTATTATTAATTAGAGTATATTTACTTATCGGTTATTCATGCAATAATAAAATTTAGGACCATATGTTAAGGTTTTGGAAGTAAAGAGTTCTATGTTTCTTTTTCCTCTTATTATAATAGAACAAAGGGGGGGGGGGTAAAAAAGAACTACTATGTTTAGTTTGGAAATATGTTCTTGGTACTCCTTTGTTATTGATCAATATTTGTATATTTCTGATTGGTTTCTCTAGTATTTTACTCAGTAGAAATGTAACTGGTTTGTAAAGATATCTTTTTATCATCATGAACTGATATTCTCATGTGGTCCAGTCAGTGCTTACATTTATAACCATATAAATGTTCTAACTAAAAGATTTCATTTGTAAAACAGTCTTGGGTTACTTTTAGGGCTCAAATCCATGTTATGTAAGCATTGAATAAAATCATCCATTTCTTTTCATCTTTGTTGAACATAGTTATTGTGTGATATCAAGAGAAACTTGATTGAAACAAGTCCATTATGAACTTCACATAGACAGTTACTGTGTGACATCAAAAGAAACTTGATTAAAACAAGTCCATTATGAACTTCACATAGACAGTGTGCGACATCAAAAGAAACTTGATTAAAACAAGTCCATTATGGACTTCACATAGACAATTAGTGTGCGACATCAAAAGAAACTTGATTAAAACAAGTCCATTATGAACTTCACATAGACAGTGTGCGACATCAAAAGAAACTTGATTAAAACAAGTCCATTATGGACTTCACATAGACAATTAGTGTGCGACATCAAAAGAAACTTGATTAAAACAAGTCCATTATGAACTTCACATAGGCAGTTAGTGTGTGATATCAAAAGAAACTTGATTAAAACAAGTCCATTATGAACTTCACATAGACAGTTACTGTGCGACATCAAAAGAAACTTGATTAAAACAAGTCCATTATGAACTTCACATAGACAGTTACTGTGTGATATCAAAAGAAACTTGATTAAAACAAGTCCATTATGAACTTCACATAGACCGTTACTGTGCGACATCAAAAGAAACTTGATTAAAACAAGTCCATTATGAACTTCACATAGACAGTTACTGTGTGATATCAAAAGAAACTTGATTAAA